TTCGTACTACTCTCTCTCGCTCGCTCTCTCTCTCTCTCTCTCTCTCTCTCTCTCGACTACTTCTCTCTCTCTCTCTCTCTCTATCTATCTATCTATTAATCAATCATCTATTTATTTATGTGTGTGGTTGTGAATTTGGGTGTATGATGGCTTTTGTTGATGCAGGTGTGGAGAATGTTTGTTGTGCATGTTGAATTGTGCTTTTTATGTGTAGAGGATGTTTAATATTAAAATTTGAGTTTCTAGATGCCCATCATCTGCATGTCCTTGTTTAGACTTGAACTTAGAAATGTTATGTCTTGACTGCGTTGATGGATGGGAAACCATGTATCTACATTTCTGTTGTGGCATTTGCGCCCATCATACATGATCGCAATTCATTAGCTTCGTTCTAGCATATCGCAGCGTATGTGCTGAGGCAGCTAACTCTCGAAATATGAGGTACTTGTGTATTTACCCAATGAAAAATCATCCATACTTGAATGTATATTTTTGGATATTATTTTGGTTTATCCTTCCAACATAGCTGTGATCCGTTGTTCATCTCAGAGATAATGAAAGTTGGTAGCTTTCCTTCGTTGTTGCTGTTTATGCAATAGTGTTTCTTTTGTATCTATGATTGAGAATCATGTTATTTTACTTTTCAGCTTGTGAAGCTTCTTGAGTCGAAGGAAGCAAACCACATTGAATTTTGCAGAATAAAAAATGTGGTCGACGATGTTCTGTACTTGTATGGAAAATCAGATCTTAATCCCATCCTACAATCGCTGCTAGATCCTACTTGGGTTGCAACTGGCTTGAAGATCGATTGCGAGTCCCTGGTATTTTCATGTCTATTTTTGTTGCCTTGGTTCTTTGAAGATTCATTTTAAGTTACTTCTTAAAAGTACGTGTGACTTTGTGTGAGGATTTCTCTATGACTTGCATTTCAACTTTCACACTACATTTGTGATAAACAATGACTTTTCCACCATTTTAATTTGATAAGTTCGAAAGTCATGAATCCCGCATGCTCTTCTAGTTGAAGAACACTTCTATTACAAGAATATCCATGCTGTCCATGGCTCTTCCATTACAACAGTTCTACTGATATTCCTCATTCCAAGAATCTTCCTGCTATCCATATCTTCTCCATTACAATTATGTATGCTCTTTTCTCCATGGCGTTACCAAGAGTATTGATTGGAGGAACTTCTATATGTTATATTTACTAAAGAAGTGTTTCAACATTATAAACTACAATAAAAGGTATATAGACCTTGAGAGGTGCTCTTTTCCATTCGTAGGATTCTTTACATGTCCGTTATGTTATTTGGGCGTTCTGCGAGATTCTTGTTTCTCTTGTATTCTTTATATGTACTATGTTGTCTTGTAAGTAACCCCTGAGTGTGCTATTTGGAGTGTGCTATTTGTCTGATTGAATTATATTTCTCATTCGTTGCAAGTTCGCATGCTGTCTTTCTTTGGTTAAGTTCACATGCTAATCAAGCTTCTCTAAAGTGACCCCAACTCTAGAAAATGTTGATCTGTCACATTCATGAGTTTCTGAAAACATCCAACTGTAAACCTTCAAATCCAATTATAAAAAGCAATGATTTCAGTCAAGTTCCTAAAGGCCTAACTGGTGTTTCGAGGTAAAGTCACTACTGTAGCAAGCGTGGCATTGACTTACATTACATATAGGTACTTTGCTTATCAAATATATGAGTCATCTGAAGCTCTTCATGAAGTTTTGGCATATACCATGGGTGAGGAATCTTATCAGTGTGCCCACTTCAACCTGGATAGTTCTGGAGTTACAGTTTCGATAGAATTCTATATGAACAAGTTGCAATATTCATTCCTATCCTGATGTAAGGGTGGGTTCCTTTTTCTGGGTTAGTTGTATATGGATCATAATCATCTGAGTCGTATGAGTTGATAGAATCGATCACTTTTCAAGTGCCTCAGATTCATGAGCACCTCTGACATCACTTCTATGGATTGTGCAGTTAAAAGATGCGCGTGCTATGGTACTAGTTCAGATGTTATCTTAGGAACCTTGAGTTTTAAGCACATGAACTGTTCAAGTCCTGCGCTCTAAGTTCCGCGATAGAATCTATTAAAGAGATGTTCCTTTTCTCAATTGAATTGTGGTTGGATTTTTAATTCACTTGAATGATAATGAAATGTTCATGTTGGTATTTTTATCTTAATCTTGCATGCATGCTATGATGGAAGCTCTCGTTATCAAGCTGGATTTATGCTGCTTTTTAACTTGAGGCTTCTATCTTCAGTTGGAAGAGTTGTTTTCTTTTTCATAATTTTCATTACAATATCGACTAGTTTGTGTTTCCTGCGTTATTGACATTACTTGACATAGATATTGGCTTGCCTATGTCTCAGGTGAATGAGTGCAGATTGGTTTCACATAGAATTGGTGAAATGATTTCCCTACAAGGAGAAAGAGTTCAAGCAACAAGTTCTGTCCCTTGTATTCCAGGAGAATTTTTTGAAGACGTTGAGTCATCATGGAAGGGTCGCGTGAAAGAAATCCATACAGAAAATGCAATCAAAGAAGTAGAGAGAGCGGCAGAATCCTTGTCTTTGGCTGTAGGTTGCATTAAGGCTTCTTTCATATAGTTCAATTGGAAGCTTAGGAAGTTGTGTGTCCAATCCTTTGATGACTATGTTTCCATCGAATGTTATTTTTAATTATTTGGAGGGGAACATGATAGCATCATGTGCCATCCACGTAAAATTACCCTCTAGATTTATAACAAAGAAAGTGAAGATTTTATAACAAGGAAATTATGGAGTTTCAGATTTTATTTTAAGTTTTCTTGGTCATACCACAATTATAGAGACTTTTGTGCCATGGTATCAATCCAGGTTGTGTCAAAGATTCTATCTTTTATCTTTTTTTCCCTTTACAGTCTAGAAACGACACCACCATGTAATTAGGGTCACATTTTACTGATCCTAGACCCTTGCAATTAGGATGATGCCCTTGTGACGAGTTCTGCTTGAGGCTTATGGCCTTTTTTGTGGCTTTTGTAAATGTCTTTGGATGCTGAGGTCATAGAGATTTCTGGTTGCAGAAAGAGCTGCCATTTCTCATTCCTGTGACGCTTTTTAAGGTTAGCAACTGCTATGTAATTCTTCGACTCAATACCCTCCTCTGCCTCTTTATCGTATTTCAATCTTCTCATTCCATCTCCCTATACCCTTTCTCTGTTATGTATCATCTTTTCACGTGGTTTTCTTCATCTTTTTCTTCTTCTTCCCTCTGCCTCTATGCTCTACCCTTGCTAAATGTCATTGTTGTTGTTGTTTTTGCCTCTATTTTTTCTCTTGAACTTACACCTCTTCCTTTCTGTGGTCCTATTTACTTGTTGAATAGTTGAATAAAAGTAAATATGTGTTTCAGATGAAGCAATAAATTGTCATTCTAAGCTTTTGAATTCTAATGTCTCAAACTCACCAATGGTTAACTTCCAAACAGATGCCACTAATTTCTCTTGGGTACCCCATAGCATCTATATGTTCAGGGATGGACACATTTTTCAGGACCCCTGCACTCCTCTTTGATATTTATTATGTTTATAACCTCAACGATTGGTTTGTCTTGTAAATAGATGTACAGGGTGAATTCTGCAGATGTTTAGTCACATTGAAAGTTGTCCCAACTCTCCAGTCTGACATTTTGTTATGTTTCTAGTGTTTCACTTGTCGGGCCATTTAATTTTTAACAAAGTTCACTGCAGGCTCTGAAATACTTTTCTATTGTATTGATAATTGGTCATCTGTATGTCCTATCTTTGGAGTAACAACATATCCTGTTTCATTTCTAGGTTACTGAAGACTTCCTTCCAATTGTTCAGAGAGTAAAAGCTGTCATGTCTCCACATGGTGGTCCTAGGGGTGATATAACCTATGCCAAAGAGCATGAAGCTGTTTGGTTTAAAGGAAAGCGTTTTGTACCATCTGTTTGGGGTGGTACTCCTGGTGAAGAACAAATTAAGAGACTAATACCTGCTACAGATTCTAAAGGGAAAAATGTTGGAGATGAATGGTTTACAACTGAGAAGGTGGAGGTTGCTCTGAATAGGTGATCATTGGATAAACTTGTATAGATGATCTTAATGTCTTTTAAATATGAAACCCCATGAGGTTATTTGAAGCTATCTTCATTTGAATTTTGTTGAGGTAATTCCTCTGTTAAAGTTGTTCAAACTTTTCATCTAGGTACCATGAGGCAAATGCCCGAGCCAAGGCGGTTGTCATGGATATTTTGCGAGGACTTTCTACTGAAATGCAAATTAAGATAAATGTTCTTGTCTACTCATCCATGTTGCTGGTTATTGCAAAGGCATTATTTGCTCATGTCAGGTTGGACACTGATACTTAGCTGCATAGAGTATAGAGCGGCCTTAATTTGTCTTCAAGATTTAAAAGGATTGCAAACAATTTTGTTTGACCCATATGGGTAAACTCATTTCTGGTGTGACTTTTCATTCGAGATCTCATGCCATGTTTGGAACTCAAAACTGTCATATTATTATCTGCCATAAATTTTGATATCAGAAAGTAGATAATATATTCATCTCAATCACTATTCAAATTTTTTTTGAAGAACACATATAAGGTCGATCTGATGGTACGTTGTAATACAATTTCGAAGGCCAGCATAATGTTTCTAGGCTTCTTGGCCCGAGCAAATGTCTTAAACTTGGCACTTTACATCCTAGTCATCATAATACTAGCTAGTTTCATTTCCTTTCTATCCCCTTTTGGCATATCTGCGTTTTGCTCTATTACCCCAGAAATAGTTCAAATTTGTATTTTGTTTGCATACAGCTCTATTAGGTTTTGTTTTTTTGGGTAAGTCAGTGGGAGAGAAGGCCCCCTACCCGTTTTATCATTAATAAAAGAGCAAAGAAAAACAATTAACATACAACCCTATAGTAGGGCAATTGCGCCAGATCATGTAATAAAAGAGAGGAAAGGAAATTTGGTGGTCTATGGCACCACACAGTAGCACCGGGGCCAGCAGCTGCCTTCTTAGCGAGGGCATCAACAACCATGTTAGCCTCCCGAAAGACATGTGTAATGGACCATCGATGAGAAGACAGTCTGGTGCAACAATTGTCTACAATCGTCTTTATCCTCCATAGAGCACTGGATCGATTCTGAATGACATTCACAAGCAAGGCTGAGTCACTTTCTACCTGAATTGGAAAGCGATTCCTTTGAATAACCAATTGAATTCCTTCCTCAAGTGCCAAGAATTCTGCTTGGTTATTAGAAACAAAACCAAAATGCTTTGCAAAAACAGCAATAAAACCGCCCACTCTGTTCCTGATAACTCTACCACCACCTGCTAAACCTGGATTTCTCAAGGAAGCACCATCAATATTGAGCTTGTAATTGTGAGCCTCAGGAAAAGACCATGCTACCGGAATAAATATTACAAATGCTTATTTTTAAGATATGTGAATTTAAGACAGAAGTCTCCTCTCTCTCTCTCTCTCTCTCTCTCGCTCTCTCATTGTGGAAACCACAAGAATATCTTCATTTCAGTTAATATAATCAGTTTGAAATTTTCGCTATGGTATGCATACTGGTTCTAACGCCCCCTTTGGGTTTTGCAGTGAAGGAAGGAGGAGGAAATGGGTCTTTCCCACATTAAAGGAGTTCGATAGATCTGCAGTAATATCTTAAAATCCACTCATGATTTGATACTATTATTTAGCTCAATAAACTATTTAACATGAATATTTTCCTATTGGTAGGAAAAAGTGTCAGTTATCGAAGCTACTAAGAAATTGATTTTCAGATCACTTCTCCATAAACAAATATAATTATCATGGTGGTTATTAATTCCCTGAAATGTTGGGGTCTTGATGGATACCAGACATTTTGAATCCGCTATTTTGATTATTGTGGCTGAACTATACCAGAGATCTCAAGTTTATCTTAGCCCTAGAAGAATTGATTACTTCTCCCTTGTCTTATTTTGGAGAAATGCATCTCATTTTATGAATATGGACACAGGGCAGCACTTTGTCATGGGAAAATGACTATATGGAGATTGTGGGATTATCACCATATTGGTTTGATGCTGCTCAAGGAAATGCTATACAAAATACTGTTAAAATGCATTCCTTATTTATTTTGACGGGACCAAATGGTGGTGGCAAATCTAGCTTGCTTCGGTCGATTTGTGCTGCAGCATTACTTGGAATTTGTGGGTTGATGGTTCCGGCAGTCTCTGCTGTCATTCCACATTTTGATTCTATCATGCTTCATATGAAATCCTATGATAGTCCTGCGGATGGGAAAAGCTCCTTCCAGGTACATGCATCTATTCTGTGTAAGCTCAGCTGTTGTTCTTTATCATGGCCTCTGATTTATCTTTGAAAGTTAGTAATTTGGGATATGTCAATCTGAAATAGTAATTGAAGCTGTTAGACCTCATGTCCCTGTACCAACAATGATGAACTAAGTTGGCAACATGCTTGTTGCTTTATCTCCACATTCTGCATATGCCTATTTTTTCTTCATCTTTCATTTTGATAAGGGTTTTCGGTCATTGATCCTTAGAGCTGCCTTCAACATCTTAAATACATGCCTTTTGCCTTTGTAGGGCTGCCTTTTTTATGCAATACAAAGAATGCTGCCTAAAGACAATGCGAAGAACTTGACATTACTAAGTGTGAAGTGTAAAACACATATTTACATAAAGTAAAGTGCATCTTCAAGTAGTGTTGAAAGATGTAGTTTCAATACTGGAAATCTTTGAAATGGCCTGAAAATTTATTTTCATCTCTAATGATTAAATTTAGAGCTTAAAAAATATTGTAGATCAAGCAGATCTATGAACACTTTAAATTCTTGAAAATTGACAGTCAAAAAATGCATTACAAGATGCACTATTTCCAAAACTTGAAATTCCTTTTTTCTCATGTCCATGAATCTTGATGTCGAGATGATCAATTTGGGGATTTTTGGGCATCGAAATAACCTCTTCTAGTGAAATTTTTGAGGTGCGCCTTAATTTGATTCTTTACAGCCTCGCACTTATATAAACTTTTTCCATCAAATAATTGGTATGCAAACATATGAAATAGTTCGTGTTTTGAAAAACCCAAAATACACAAATATATATATATATATATATATATATATATATATATATA